TAGCTCACACAGAGCCGGAGCTGCGCCGTCTCCTCTGTGGGTGTCCGTGCCACGCCACGACCCAATGTGCCCCCTGTGCCCGATAAATTGAGAGTGGGCCCCGTTAATTACGCTGAAAATTTCTACAAGGCTGCTGTACTCACACCAGTACGCAAGCTGTATACTCGGGGTGGACATAAACACAGTGGCGTGCATTAGCATCAGCTGTTTAGGGCTCCCGTTGGCTCACTCCGTGAGTAAAGCATGCGTCTGGATTCAGCTGCGAGCATTTATTTGGATCGGTGACAACCACCGAGCAAAATGAAGCAACTAACTGAAACCTGCTACAACGGGGCGTCTGTTCTGTTCTGCCAATAGCGAGAATATGTTTTTTTTTTCTTTACCAAATGAGTTTCCTCATCCAAAACTGATAAAACGGGATTATTATTACGACATCACGAGAGGAGCCAGATCAGATTAATTTAGCAGGTTGAGGGTGTTTTTCGGAGGGGGGGTGGGGGTAGTAGCACTTGGGATCTGACAACAGAGTCAATTCTGCTAATTAACTGCCAATTAGCTGCCCCTAAATGAGAGGGATCACGATGCTTAAGTTGGCAGTGCCCCCCGATAGTCTCTTTTTATGTATATAAACTCATGCTAGCACACCAGAGACACACACTCATACACACATTACAACCTCACACACTCCAGCTGTATATTTAGAAAGCCAGGGGCATGAGGGGGCCGCTTCTGGGAGTCCCTGATTGGAGCCAAAAAAAGGCACGACATTTCCATCTGGGTCAAAGTTAGACGGATAACCAGCAACTTCAGTCGGTTCAGTTCGGCCATTTATGTGACAGACAGGAAGTGATGGAATAGGGAGAAAACCTCTAAAGCTGAATATTAAATACACATAATGGATGTGGGAATAAAAAGAAACAAGCGGCGAGGCCAACATAACTTTGTTTCATTTGGAAAATATTAGTTATTATTTTTCATTTCACAAAAAGCTCGACTGCCAAACCAGAAAATCATAAAAAAAATCATAAAAGCAAGTGTTCCTAAGTGTCTCATTGGACGCAGGAAGGGGGTGGGAGGTGCTTTTCTGAGTGGAGGAACAAATTTGAGTGCTTTTCTCACATACCACAAACAAATGGGCTTTACCATTAAAATCATGTGTGTGAACCTGCAGCACAGCTTCCACGAAACCTCGGCTGGAAGATTTAAACAGAGAAGTCTAAAGGGAAGGAGATTAGAGGGGAAAAGAGAGGATCTGAATGGTGATGGGAAACCTGCTGTGAAGAACAGTAAAGAGTGGGGAGTTTAGAGCCATCAGAAGGCAGTTAATGCACAAGCCGTGCCCCGGAACAATCAGGATGCTACATAAATGAGCTAAAAAGGCAGATAATTGTAAAGACTTTTATTTGGACTTGCATTATTTTGGACTTTTAAGTTACAGTAAATATTTTGGGCCAACTTGCATGCAAACATGCTTCATGATGAGTGTTGCTCAAATTTCTGCTGATAAATTATGTAAAAACAAAAAACTAAACAATCAGTGCACCGTGCTCCGAATGTCTTCTGAGATTGAACTTATTTCATCTCCACATTGGGCACCGGCTGCTTGGCGCCGTCGTCTGGCGGATATCCTACCCTTATCATGTGACCTGTGCTCTGACAGGGGCCAAAGGTTGGCTACGATCCGCCCCTATGTCTTAATAACTCACTCATTGTATTCCTTTCTGCCGCTAATTAGAGCCTCTCCCCTGTGTGTGTGTGTGTGTGTGTGTGTGTGTGTGTGTGTGTGTGTGTGTGTGTGTGTGTGTGTGTGTGTGTGTGTGTGTGTGTGTGTGTGTGTAGTCTCCCCCTCTGGCTCATAGAGAAGAGGCAGAGAAGTAAAAACAGAGCGTGGCTTAGTGCCCTCTTTATTGTTATTAGTGCTCCAGTGGCACAGCAGTCAGTCATCGTAGATGCCAAGAACTGACATGTTCGCTCTCCGCCTCTGCCATGGAAATGTCTGCCAGTGAGATCAGGGAATAAAAACGATTTCCTTCCTATTTCATTTTATTTTTTTAGATATTTCTCTCAGTCACATGTCATTGCCTTCATCTCCCAAGCTCTTGTAAATCTTCCCGTGTGTGTTTTGTTTCTGCGGTGGTAAATAACAGCAGGATATTTGGCGTGTGTGTGTGTGTGTGTGTGTGTGTGTGTGTGTGTGTGTGTGTGTGTGTGTGTGTGTGTGTGTGTGTGTGTGTGTGTGTGTGTGTGTATTTACGACGGTGAACAAAGGCATGTCGCGCTGGGTCTGACACTGAGACATGAAAGTATTCAGTCAGGCTCCATTTACTTCGGACTGATAGCAGGACACTAGGAGGTGCTGAGGCAGGCAAAAGATACTGTAAACGCTTTAGAACTGCAGACACCTGATTCTGACGTGACTTCACTATCCCACAGTTCCACAGGGGTGACACGACCCTCACCTTTTTTCCTGCAAATGCAAAAAAAAAGAAAAAAGAAAAAAAAAACACCCACTAATGGTGTCACTTGTGTTGTGCACGCACGCACACAAACACACTTTCAGATCACTATTAGCAGAATAATCAAGCCCTCCTCCTCATCTGCTTAGCACCAGCACAGTGGAATTGTGGACTTTAACCCCTTTCTTTGCTCTTTATTAACATTAGACAACTAATGGGGTGTGGGCTGCAAACAGGTGAGGCTGTTAGCTAATGATATACACTAGATATAGAGGCAGGTGGAGTGTGTCGGTGGTGCTCAGACAAAAACCGTCTGGGTTGGTTTTTTCTGTATGTGTGTGCAGGTGAGCCACAGGTAAAGGGCGGGTACGGTTGAGAGGTAGAGGAGGTTTGACGGGGCGAAAGGGGGGGAAAGAGTGAGATGTACTGTCTATTGACTATCACACAGAGCACCGTTGTGCCCTCGCTGGGCTGCGATTGTGCCGGCGGACAAAGCCCTGATTCAGCACATCCTTTCCCCAAGGGAGAGCTCTGGAAACCGAAGACGGTGTCCACCCCCCACGCACACTCATCCTCTTCTACTATCTCTCCCTTCGTCTGTCTCTGTCTCTCTCTCTCTACCCCTTTTTGGCCAGTAATATTGCTGCAGCCATGCATCAAAGAGAACCCCATAACAATGCAAGAGGCCAGCCAGGAACTTGAAGAGATTTTTTTTTTTTTTGCAGTTTTGCAAAACAGAAATATTAGACGATCTTGTTTCGTCATTTCCGCCTGGATCCGATTAGGAGCCATTAAAGCTAGAAGTTTTAAAAAAGAGACGCATTTCACTCTAAACTTCTAGCCCGCAGAGGGAAAAATGGAAAACTTTATCTCCAAGTCACTAACACAGCCAGTGACGTGGAAGCATCCTGTGTTGACAACACTCAGAGTTTAGCACAGATAGACTTGCAGAGTCCAAGCCTCTTAAGTCTCCTCTTTAATTTATTTGTGAAATTTGATGCCCGTTGTGTTTTTATTAACACAGCTGGTGTTACGTTAATACTCAGCCCAATGACGGTCTATTTTTATGTGCAGTATGCATGTAGAGACATATTTCATGACGAGTTCCAAGATGCTTTGAGTCCAAACGAATCGGGTTTCATGACCAGCGATAAGACAGAGCATCCTTCTATATCTGTCGATGTCTCTATCTGTTACTATTTCTCTTCCCTCCCAGGTCGGCTGAGTATTTTTGCATTAATCACCATGACACAAGCAAGGCAACTCAATTTTCTGCTCCTGTAGGTAAGGTGCACAACGTGGCATGAGGCATGAAACAGGCAAGCGGGGGCTAATCTTTGGTTACTGGTGTAATTGAAATGCTATCCACACTGTAGGGTGCATTAAAGTCTGATAACAACGGTTCCTGTGGCCAATTTAAGTAGCTTGACTTCCTTTGGCTATACAGGAATAAAGCAAAGGGTGTGCTGGAGAGATGGAGCGTTTTAGGTTGGGGTGTGGGGTGGAGGCTAGGGAGGGGGCTGATAGATAAGGCAGACAAACCCAGCTAATTCTCCAGGCATGTTTCTCATTGTGAGCAGGGAAAAATGAGGAAAAAAAATGAATCACGGAACCAAAAAATCAATTGACCCTCGGGTGGCTTGTCAGGCTGCGAGTCTGATAAACCTAAAAGCTTCGTTAATGTTGGCCTGCCTGTATCCAACAGATAGAGCACTTTGTAAATGAACCCGCTTTGATAAATATATTAAGGAAAGCTGTGAATAAAAGGCACAGACTTGTCATTTGTAAATAGAACCCCCGCTACATGGAATTAGAATGATAAAATAGGGTTCCGTATAATTAAGTTTGTGTAAGACCTGAAATCCGTGCAAATACCTTCCCAGAATTTTGAAAGGAAGCTGTCAGTTCAATTAATCTGAACATCACCCTGAGAATGTACTGAACAAAATTAAGCCCAGATAAAACCTGGGCTAGTATTTTGATAAGTAATTCCTGTATCATTTCTTTGCTTCTGTGATCATTTTATTTAATCCACCACCCCCAGTTATGTGCTAAGCCATCTACAAAGGCCCTGCTGGCCAGGCCACCAAAACCTTAATCCACCATATAGCTGGTGCACAACTGGGAGGGGGTGGAAGGCAGGTTTATATGTTGTGGGGGCACCGGTGGCAGTGCTAGGCATGGTTTTGGATGAAGGGGTTGGGTGTGGGGGCTGTAGGGGTAGCTTATGATCTTTGTCTGCTTCCTTAAATATATCCACGTATGCACTGAACCACAAAGATCTCGGCAGAACACTGTACCGATAACACCAGAACATCCCGGTAGCTTAGAAATAATAATTTTACAAAGGTAATCTGTGTGTACATCCATGCGTGCAACTCTGTGTGTCTACAGAAGACGGGGAGGGATGTACATAAACGGTTTTCACACTTTAGGAGCATTAGCCGTCATGGCTGGTGGGTAGCAGGGAGGCAAAGGCTTTTGAGAATAAAAGGCAGAGCGATGCTGGTGGCGGAGATAGGGCGGACGGAAATCTTGACTCACCAGTTGTTTACTTGTAAGATGGTGAGGCCTGTGTCTTGGGCTAGCTGCTTCTTCTGCTCTTCAGAGGGGTAGGGGTGCTGCAGGAGGAAGCAGAGGGAAAACACACACTTGTGAGTCCCTGGTGAAGAGATTAACAGGAATATTCATGCAAACTAATGTACTGATACCTTTTGTAGCATTGTGCAACTCAAGGCTGCACCTTTTTTGTGACCTCTATCCTACCCTGCCCCTCCTTTTCACAGTATAGATGTTCTCAGCGTACACGTGTTCACCCTCTGAAAAGTGCTCCAACGTACAATTTTGCGCCAAACCTGTCATAGCTGGTCAAACAAGTTTGTCAAAGCTGTCAACAGCTATAACCTCATACGTGCTCCTCAGCCCGCCTATACAAAGAAGAAATGTATAGCATACATACCGATCACATTGTGCAAAGGAAACAGACCCAAAAAACACCCTCATAAACACACACACACACCACACACACACACACACACATCTCGTTACAAGACTTTCCAGGAGGCCTAGCACAGAAATATTTGTGTCTGAATCCTTTTATGTAGCAGAGCAACAAAATGAGTGGGTGCAGATTTGCAATGAATGCATTTATCTTTTCTTGAATGTCTGACATGTATCCTGGTGGCTCTTTCATCGATTGCAGCTGAATACAGACGGAACGCCAAAAGAACAGAGCACTGTGAAATCTCGCTGCACAGCTTTGCCATGATTTTTACCTGAAAATGGAATTCTCCAATGTGGGGTTGCAATGAGACTATTTGTGTCAGGTCCAATCTAAAAAACATTGGTTGATAGAAATGGCAGACCTTGGGCTGCCTCGCTCCCTCTGGGCCTGCTATGAAGCATGACAAAACAACAGTGATCGCTGGTGACAGATGTCTTTAAGGGCCAGATTAGGAGTCGGGGCGCACGCAAACGAAACAAATAAGAAGCTATGTGTTTCATTCAGCCGCTCTAAACATGGAGCATGCGTGCACACGAACAAAAGCGTGTGCAAACAGAAATGCACACACAAGCATTAAAACATTCAAAGACTTGACACCTGCAAATAAAAACACTCACACAAATTCATTCTTTGAAGGTGGCATTTAAATATATTTTTTTCTATTTTCAGATAGCTTCAAGCTCCATTGACACACACTTCCTCTCTCCAAGTGAACCAATTCCATTCATCAAAACTTCGGCTCCTTCCCTTCCTCGTACTCATCAAGAAAGCAAAATCCGTGGCCCGCAATGCTCGATTGGCTCATGCTAATTGAATCCAATTTTAACATGAAATGATAACAGTTGCTCAAGAAGCATTTTCTCATTTACTGCTGAAATAATTGATGTAAGTGAGAATTCATATCAGCAGACGGGAGGATTTCTTCGTTCAGGTAGCCATGCCTGTTTAAATGTTTTAATTAAAGGATAGATTAAAATGGTTGGAGGAATGTGCGCAATTAATAACAAACAAAGCTAAGATTGGACACATAATGAGTCTCTGCTGCACAGGAGGATTAATCAGATTTGTACTTGTGTACACAGTCCCTTTTAATATGCTAAAACCATTAACAAAGGAACTATGATAATGGTTGCGTCGAAATACATTTTTTGATTGCCAGGTGCTGACATTTGCTTGGCTTGCAGAGGTACTGAGTGTGTGTGTGTGTGTATGTGTGTGCACAGGGAAAGCAAAGTGTGCAGAAAGTCCAAAGAAATTTTCATCCACATCTATGTTTGTTGGATTTGTGCACATTGTTGACACTTTTTCTTACAACTGGAGCCTTCGTGTTTTTGCATGACCTTGGTCACCATCTAAGCACACAAATAAACCAGAGCAGTAACTCCTACTCCCACATAAACCTGCACAAAATGTCCACCAACAGACTCCCATGCTAGGATGGAGTGGTGAGGATGGGAGCACCCTAGATTGGAAATGGGAGTGGGTCATTTACATTGTATTAAGGCTTCTTCAGCCTCTCAGGCCCAGACCTGGTCATCAATCGCCTACTGTCAGCCAGAGCGAGCTCTAGCCTGGTGATAAATACGCCGGCCAGCGGCACGACTCGTCCAACAGCCACCATGTAATGAATGGTTTGAACAAACAAGAAAGATGTCTCATCAAGGAGAGTGGGGACGTTAAAACCCCCTTGAACGCAAAACCCCTGAGTAAGGAAATTTACTCTAACTGCATGGACACAACACTACAAACAACAACAAACCTCTTTGTCCAGCTCTCGCCTATTAACCCACTCTTTCTCCTGATGCTATAGCTCTTCAAAATGTACGAACCTTGCACACATTTTTGCAAATGCACAACCAAGAATCAGCGTGTAAGACCTTCTCATTTCACTTTATTTTGCCCTAAACCTTGTTTGGCCATTTTTGTCAACTTTTGTCAATTTTTCTCAAAATATGGTTAAGGTTGCAAGCCACCCACAAAGATTTTCAAATGTGGCAGCCTTCCCCTGAGCATGGAAATGAGAAAGCTCTGCTACATAAGAGGGTGTGTAATGACAATTTAAACACACGCATACATGAGATGCAAATTGAAATGGTGGGATTGAGCCATGAAATTGGAGAATGACTATTTAGACCTCTGCGTAACCTTGTAATGTTGATTAATACAGTTAAAAATCCCCAGATTTGAAAAAAATGTATACTACACAGACTCATCGTGGGTTTTCTATTGAAGACATTCAGTACAACATGGTTTTTAATGAAGAAAGTGCAAGCAACAAACTATACATTTAGCTTTAAATTCAATAAATGTGTTCTATTAAATCAACCCCAGATGAGCACAATGCCAGTATCCTTAAAAAGGATTCACTGCAGAATATAAAAAAAGAGTTAATTTGTTGTTTCTAGTTGTATCAACTACGCCAATTATCCTCAATTGTGCACATAAATTGTTGGTAAATATGTAATGTCATGTTGCTACAACTACATAAGTGAAAGATTAGCCAACGGCTAAAGCTAACACAGTCACAGGTGTATCACCCTCAGCCGTTTGTCTAAAATCGAACTGTGTCCGTGTATTTGTACGGGTGACTGACCGCTGGCTAAATTACAGGCTTTGATGTGCTTTGTGCTCGCTGATAACCCTAGACGTAATAGCTCCTGTGGTTGCTGAACATTACAAGCTGAGGTAGCTCTATCATCTGCTGGGTATGGTCCTTAACCCCCCACCCCCACCACCCCCTGAGCCCAGCTTGGCATTTCACCACATCACACATAATAACCACATGCACTGCTGGTCCACTCTTACCTCACGCCACACCTTTCGCCCACGCTTCTCTCTACTCATTCAACACCCAGTTTGCTATATATCACTTTCGTATTCTCCTGACACCTATTTGCAGCCGTCATCAAATCCCACAGCCCGATCATTATCCTGACTGTTCCGTGCATCCCCCACCACTTTCCCGGCTCTGATGCTTCTACTCCACCCACTGAACCTGCAGCCCCTTGCATGAGCCGCTGGTGGACCTCATTGATTAATTACATCATCAGTGTGTGACATGAGTTATGGAGCCAGGTCACAAGGTCACAGTGGCTTGCAAACCTATTCCATGCTAATGACTCCCAGGAAATCACAGGCCATTGGCTGTTTACCCTCATCACCATGGCAACACAAAGGATTTGCTTAGACTTTGTCTGTTGGATAGGGATTTTAGATAATCTGTCTTTTCATTCAGTTGAAGTGTGTGTTCATTTCTGAAATTAAACAAATGTAATGCTTTAAATGAAGTCACAATCATGCCTTTTTTTGCACCACTGTCAGTGATCGACCATATTACACCTTTCTCGTGTCCAATATATTTCCTCTCATATGTGCCTCCCTTGATTTGATTGGAATCATATTTGTTTTTTAATCAAAGTAACTGGAAGAAAATAATAATATTCACTGTCAGAAATGAGCACAATCAAAGAAAGGAATGACATTTTAATACAGATTCCAGACTGAGCTGCAGTGAGATTGGCACATTTGTTATTGTTGATAATAGCACAATTGGCTTATTTGACAAATGACGATGAGATTGAATGCATATCAGCATTAATGAAAGATCAAACAGATATGTCAAATAAATCCAGTTGAAGTTTTGGAATTCATCATGGGGGTCTACCATCATAACGTGCTGTGATTTAAACCTGCAGACACAAAGCTATTCCCTTTCATTTACAGCTTCATAGCCATTAATTTTGGACTATTTTTAGCCCAGTCCTGTCTTGTTTTCCTCCCCATTTTCAGCAAATCGTGACTGGTGGGCAATGGTATTTTATGGTTATTTGGATTTTCCTTTGAACTCACTGGGAACTGCATCGCTTCCCGACAACAATCAAAAAACAGACAAGAATGCTTCACGACTCTGACTCAAGCCTACTGCCTGTTCGTCCCCTCTCTTCGTTGTAAACACACACACTGATAGACAGCTTATAAACAAATCTCACATGATGCCAAGCAATGAGCCACACACACCGCATGCCAGCCTCTGATAACAGCACATGAAGGTACGTTTACATCTACACCTCCAACCATCTGCATTCAGAACATACCACTACACTTACCACTGTCTGTCCCACTTCAAACTCCAAAGCTTCCACACTAAGTAAGGACTCTCAACGGACTGCCCTCTGACAGTAAAAAAAAAAGGTGATGATTGCAAATACAAGGTGAACTGGTGAGGCTTACAGCATCTATTAAAGAGCAAAAGGGCCCCCAGTCTGTCTGTCTGCCTCTCCGACTGGCTGGCTGGTAGGCTGTTTGGCAGTGCATCAGCACTACTCCCGCAGTTGCTACCATGGCCCCCCACAACAATCACTGGCTGGGCTCCTGAAGCCAGCTCCTGGATCCCAGCCAGCAGCCTGTTTGCTCTACACCATTAATTTATGTTCACTGGAGACAGTGCAAGGTTGTAGGGAGGCTCTGTGGCATAACTGCTCTGCTCGCTTGCCAAGCTACAACAAGAGTAAAGTGGGAGTGAGAGGGGAAAGGAGGGAGTGGGTGGAGAGATGGTGAGGAAGGAGCCCTGGAGGATGTGAAAGATACAGGGATCTGATTGTACCAATCTCCATGAGG